ATTAGGTTAAAAAAATATTTAAAAAGCTTGTATAATTATTTTTTTCTAAAAACAATTACTCAACCAGGACGAAGAGCAAGTGAAATAACCAGTTATATCTATCTATCTCTTAGTAATTCTCTCCCATGTTTATGTGCACACAAATATTTTGTTGGCCAGAATTAAAGATAAAAATTGAGAAAAAATTACGGTTAATTTAAATACGAGAAACACAAGTATTTTTTTATTCACTCGTATTTCTCTTCAACGAAATCGTTTTTCTGGAACTAAGGATAGGTTTTGAAAGAAATTGTTGTATAAACATGAGGGGTAATTAAAAAAAAAGTATTTATATTTGTACACAAAATTGAGTGGATATCGACTCATATCCCTCTATCTCTTGAAAGAAAAATAAAGATTCAACGAAGGGATTTGATAAATATTTTATATTCTTCTTGTTCAATCCCTCATTGAATCCTTATTCTTCTTGCTACATGTTTTGATTGAATGAGGATTCAATGAAAGATTGGAGAGATCCCTCCAATACTTCTTTTATCATTTCAACCCGTGGATTGTCTCATATCCTACCTTTTCTTTATAATTTTTTAATGTTTTCAATTTGGATGGATTGATTCTCATCCTTCTTCTTCTTGCTTAGTCAATTAACAAGTAGAATGATGGTAAATCATGCATTCCCCCCCTATCCATCCATTCAATATACCTAATTCATCCCCTTTTTTCTTTTCTTTTTAAAAAAAGAATAGCAGTTGAATTCTAGGTCACGGGCCTTTTTCTCACGACGTTAATTAATTATTAAGAGCATACTTTTCTTTTTCTTTTTCCTCTTTGGGAAGTGGGAGGACTATGATAAAGGTATATATACGGGAATATTTTTAAAGCGTTATACCAAGGATATATATTAGTCTGATAATGTTGACCTAATCACCAAAAATTCCTAGCTAAAATGTGGAGATACAAAGAAGCAGAATACATGCCTTGCAAGATGAACGCAGCAGTATATACCCAGTTCATTCCCAGACAAGCACCATTACGTTTTTACGTTTTTTTTTTTTAATTAGAAGTAAATAATACACAATGACATGTGATGCATGATAAAACTCCTATGTGCACGCACTCCACAATGAGAGCCTATTTTCAGGCCACTGATTCCACGCACCCTGTTTCTTGTCCACAACTTATGTTTACCATACGATGGTTAGGCACGAAACCAAGACGTCGTATTTATTTAATTATTAATCTAGAAGGGTCATTTCGTATAGTTAATTTAAAAACTCTTGCAAAATTAGGGGAGATTTTGAACATTTTAAAGAAGGGGGTATCCCGGGCCCTCCTTAAACTCGTCCTTTGTCGAAGTGACTCATGCATTCACATGAACATACGATTTTTTTGGTGATTTTTTTTTTGACGAGGGTAGCTAATTATATTAGACATATTTGACTAGGGATTTGTAATGTGATCGATAGTGGCTAAATAATAAATAAATGCATCAACATACAGAGTACGGAAAAAAGAACTCTAATCATGCTATTAGTGCTTGATAGGGTGTGAAATTTGTGTTAATAACTTTTAAGAAATAATAGTAATATCCCCGGTCTCTAAAAATCAAGTACATCAACTTCTTCTTTTTTTTGGATGAGCAAGTACATAAACGTGTTCCAAAAAGAATCTTAAAAAAAAAAAAGAGTGGTTTAATTTTGTACTTTATAGAAAAAAGGAAATTATTTATATATATAAAAAGCTAATTCTTGTTAAGATCGAAAAGTGTAGCTTAGTTATAAATAATTTTGTTTGAGACAAGTTTGAATGGGAGACTGAAAGACAGGGGTTACATTCAGTTTTACTTCATCTTAAAACAGTAAAAACTGCTATACAAGCTATACAAACTAGAGTTTTTTTATATATATAAACCACTTTAAATTTTATCAAATTAAAAAAAAATTAACATATGACCCTTTCAAGAGCAATACTAAAATATTAAATTATATTTTATTATTATTCCTACAACATAATAAATAAATATGAAAATGGGATGTATCTTTTTAGTGGTTGTTCCTTTAACATAGAATGATGATAAAAAAAATTAAAATTTAAATAATAGTTTTCAAAATAAAATTAAGATGTGTATTTTTTGTAAAATTCTGTAATAACCTAGATTTTATTTGTTTATCTGAAACTATAAAATATATTTTTTGAATGGTGGGTTTTTTTAAATTTAAAAAAAAAAGTTTTTAGTTGTTAAGATAAAAATATAAATATAAAATAAATTTATATAAAATATATGTATATAAATATGTTATCTCCATTTCAATTATTTTTGTTTGTTCTGTTACAAAATATATATTAATCAAACATTATCTAGATACTTAAAGCCATTTGACCAATATCTAAATTTTAGCGACAACATTCTACACTCCACCCAAGTTCTCGACTTCGATGGCTGAGTAGGACCCGTGCATACGAAGACATGCGATGGAATTCTAAAATACACTCCCGCATGGTTTTCCTTGGGATCGGGGCTTGCTTGCCTAGCTAGGAAATCAAATCGCTTGAAAACAAAATATTAATTATGATGAGTAACTTGAAATGATAATAGCATTTAAAATTAAATTAAATAAGTCAGAGTGATTAGCCAAATAAGCAACACGTCTGCTTAGCCAATCTTGGCCCTTCCCGTCGAAGAAATAAAACATTAGACCTAATCTTGAGTTGAGGGCATATGAGTGTGTGTATTGTCATGGAAAGTTTCCAAGGACAAAAACTTCTCGTCTACCAATTCTTACCTCCTGAAATAACTATCATGCACCAATTCCTTTATTTTTTATTAAAAATATCTGGTTAAAAAATTTAGAATATATTTAATATTATGGTAACTTTTATAATTATAATTTTAAAAAATATTTTTAGTTAAGCTTTATTTGATTTTTTATATATATCTGGTTAAAATTATAGTTGGAATTAAGGTTGAATAAAAGGTAATATAATGTGTTTAGTTAAAAGAATGTTTTCTTGAGGTTATAAAATAATATATATATATATATATAGTTTTTAATTTAAATATTATAGATTTAACAAATGCTATTATATTATAAAATAAATAATACTTATATAAAATATTTTTTTATTTTTCTATTAAACTATCTATAATTTCATCATACACAAAATCTAATCGACAAGGACTATGATTTTCTTGATTTCTTTAAACACGCAACAACATCAAGTAAAATATCATCAATAATAAAATTAAAATTGCAATCAAATTCTTCAGATATTATATCATCAAGCGATCTCATTTTATTTTTTTAACAAAATACAATTAAAAATAAAAATAAAATTGATTTTTTTAACTGGATCGGAGCTAGTTCAATGCATTTAACTTTGGATAGGACCCGGACTGGCAAGAATAATGGATACTACAATTTTCTTGATTTCTCTAAGCGCGCAATAACATTAGATAAAATATCACGGATAGCAAAACCAGGATTGTGTTCAAATTCTACAAATATTATGTCATTAAACGATCTTCTTCTAATTTTTTAAATAAAATACAAGTAAAAATAAAAATAAAAATTAATTTCTTTAACTGGATTGGACCCGATTTAATGCATTTAGCTTTGGACCAAATTCAATTCTGTCAAAATAGTGAAGATTGTCTCTATTGTTCACATGAAACTCTAAACTGCATGGGAACTTTACACTATATGAAATGTTGATGTTGGGAAGGTGAAGGTGGAGCAGCTAAGAGTTGATTTTTTTAAACTCGAGGTTGAATTACAATTTATATGGGTTTTGTATCAACAATAAAGTAAGTTTTGTGTAGATTGTGATCTATTTTAAAAATTATCACAGCCGTGTAAACAAATATATACTTAACAGTAATTTAGTGAATGTTTAAGAATACTGTAGCTTTTATTTTTAAATATGTTTTAAAAATTGATTTTATTTAAAAAAAATATCAAATTAATACTTAATTTTTTATAGTTGTGATATATTGGTGTAAAAAAATATAAAAAAATTATATTAAAATAAACAATTTATAACACCATATTATGCATAAACTTAGCTGTTAACTCCAAATGCGCATTGCCCCCACCATCATGGTACTCGTTGAATCATCGTAATTTGGCAAATCAATGTGATTGAAGGAAAAGCAATCTTCCTTGAAAAGGAAAATAAATCATTTTAAAAATAGGTTTAAAATCCAAATAAAAATCAAAATAGTCATGAAATCAAGAAAATGTTTAGGAGTTTATTTGTGATTGCCTTTTAAATTATTCTTGATTTAGAAATACATAAAAATAATATTTTGAATAACAAAACTATAAAAAAAAGATTATAAATTTTTATTTTTAACCAAACTCGGTTTTAACTGAAATCTCATACCAACCCTTAGACAAGATGACAGTTTAGTTTAGCATCCAGAAGAAACGACAGCGCCTACTGAACTGAATCATGGATTATGTAACTTACAAGGAAAGTACAGTCATTCACTTGGTATGTGTCAAGTGATCGGGCCCGAGTGCACGCTTTTTGGCAGGATTTCTGACCCCTGGTTTAGCAGTCCCTTGTCAGAACACAACCCTGTCTCATGGTCATGGACTCATTCTAAATGCCCCCCTGCCACTTCCGAAGGCTGGGTGGTTGTTTAGCCATTCAAGGCTAAACACCTATTTTCATGCTCCATTAGCTTAATCACGCCACCTTTTTTCGCAAGTTGAAAAATATATTCCCCACGCCCCAAATTATCTCCCCCGCTTTCAACTTTTTGACCCTAACTGGACGGGTCAGGTTTCAATCTGTAGATAAAAACACTTGCACTGTTGGCTCTCTGGTTTTGTTCTCCGAATTTTATCATTTTTAATTTCAACCTAAAATGGATTCTTAAATAATTCCTTTTTTTTTTAATGTACTGGTTTGGAGACAGGTGGTCTCCCTAAATCCCACTGGGACAACCTAACAGTTAAAAATAACTTATGATAACTGGCAGGAAAAAAACTAAAAAGAATAAATATTATACTTAATTTTTCATTTATTACAAATTCAATGAATGAGATTTAAGTTTCCATATTCGGGAGCCAGCTCGACACTGTGGCCAGGCCGACCCTAAACAAGTTATTTATTCCTTGCGTAAGGAAAGAAAAAAAAAAACAGAGGGATTTTTTAACTTTTTTTTCTTTCTCAATCAGCTTTTCAGATTTCGAAGGACCAACATTAGGAGAGTTATTAAATGTAAATCAGATGCAGCTTCAAGGCTATTCAAGTCATTAACTAAGTGCTATCTCCCTCTTTAGTCCCACCCTCTCTGGAATAGCTTATAGCTTAGCAGATCTGTTAAGTAAAAAAGGTTGAACTGTTTCAGACAGACAGAGACAGAGAAGCGGCAAGAAAATGCCGAGAAAGAGAGAAAAGAAAGGAACGAGATACTATATTATCAATTTATCATGAAATGAAACAGTTCCATGAGGCAGAATTGAGGCCTCATTGGCTTCCTCCAGGGCTCAGGCTAAGCTTCTCCCTCTCTCGTGAACTGTACAATGGCAGCATTGACAGTTGGTGGAAGTTACTTTTCCATTAATAAAAGGAGAAGAAGATTAACAGGTCTTTGATCAAACTTAATTAGAAAATAACTATTTTTAAGAAAATGACCCGTGGGACAACTGGAACTTTGAACAGAAACAGCCATTAGGAGTTACAGCAATGCTTACCACTTTATCAACAAAAAATAATCACTAAAAATAAACAAAACCCAGAATTTATAGCGCTAAGTTATATGAAAAAAAAGAATAATTGAAGTAAAAATCATTCAGTTTCCTCCATTCATGGATGCTGATCTAACTCATCATCAGTTTGTTACATAAACAGAACAGGAAACAGTACTTAAAGAAATGAATTGCAGTTAGAGATTTTGAACTAGGAAATAGTGATGAGATAAATAAGAAGCATGATACTCAGTTGACCAAAACAAATTTGCATAGTTTTAGATCCTGCAAAAACGCAAAAGTAGTCGAAAATTTCTTACTTTATGGATCAAACCCGTTACTCGTGTAGAGCATACTAAAATTAAGCAAAATATTCACCGTTTGATGTAGCTAACAAATTCTGCATCAGACACAGCAGAGAGCTTATCAGCTTGGCTAATATCATCATCATCAACTGGAGCAGGAAGATTAAGATCTATCAAACCCAAGTTATTGTCTCCAAACTTTGTGGAACTTCTTGCAGGAGTACTTGAAGAAGCTGCTACACCAATTACATGAGATCTTTTGTGGCCACCAAGAGCTTGCCCAGATGAAAATACTCTAAAACAAAATGGACATCCATGGATTTTCTTCTCTGGCAGAGAAGTTGAAGCACCTGCATTTTCTGTTGGCTCCAAGTTTGGTTCTTTACTTGGTGTATAAACTTTGAGTTTCTTGTGACTTGCTCTATGCCCACCTAAAGCTTGATAAGATTTAAACACTTTGTTGCATGTTTCACATTTGTACTTCCCTCTTACTTTTGTCTTGCAAGATTTGAACTCACCAGAATCATCTGTTTCAGTTTCTACTTCCTCTTCAAGTTCCCGATCTTCTTCTTGATTCTCTTGTTCTTTTCTCTTCCATCTGTCTCTTGAAAGCATCATAAGACAGAAAGCGACATCTTCTTCTGTTGTAGTGTCAGAAATTGAACTCACCGGTTCAGGTTCTTGACCCGATGATGACTCAGCTGCTGCCTTAACAGTACCCATTTTCTTGAGTTCAAGCTTCTTTACTATGTTGTTGTTCTCTTGCTCTTGCCTTGGTCTTTGCTGATGATATTGATGGTGATGATTCTCTAACAATCTCTTAGTTCTCTTGGATCGTCTTCTTGTTGGGTTCTTTGATGACTCGGTCTCACTTTCTCTATCTTGAAGAACAACAGAACCAGCATCAGCCGCAGCAAAACAGAACTCAGGATCAACCAATCTAATACTTCTTTTGGGGTTCTCTCTGAGCCCATAAAAAATACCCTTCTCTTCTTCCTCGTCTTCCTCCTCCTCCTCCTCCTCTTCTTCTACACCTTGTCCTTCTTCTGCTTCTTCCTCTGAAGATGAAATTGATTCAGTGTCTTCACTAACTTCAATATGTGGGAATTGATCTTCTAGTTTTGGAGGAACTGGAAGCTTCAACAAATGAGACCTCATGTGACCGCCCAAAGCTCTACCGTTAGAGAAACTTTTGAAGCACAATTTGCACTCGTGCTTCTCCATTAACTTGAAAACAGAGCAAGAGAAACAGAGAGATTTTTCCTTCTTTGTGAAAAAAGATTGTGACTTGTGGATTTTTCTTTTTTCTATAGGGTAAACTGGAAAGAGTTGTCAAGAAGTTGAGGAAAAGAGTGGAAACTAAAAGGAGTAGGTGACAAGCATTCCTCCACCAAGAGAGATGTATACAAGGATAGAAAATAAATAAATAAGTATATATTTTTCTTAATAGCTTTGATTTTGATTTTTTGAGAGGATTAATTGATTTTCTTTAAAACGTTGGATATTAAAACATTAAATAAAATTTAATTAAAGCTCTTGCATGAAGGGAGAAAGAGGGACATGTAACATGCGAGGCTTGCCCGTTTCTGAATTTATTCCCAACCATTCTTTCTTTCAACCTTTACCTCTCTGTTGTTTCCCAACTTGCCCTTTCTACCTGGTGATATTCAAAAAAAAAAAAATTAAAAAAAAAACAGTATGCTACAACCTACAATGGAAATGAACGAAAAATATATATTTTCATAAAGTATTTCTCAGTCACGAACTTCAATTTTTCTACCTTTGTCTCTAAAATCAATCGTCTGCTTACACACAAAACAGCTTCGCATTTTCATTGATTTAAGATTTAAAATATTTCAATGTGGGTTTTAGGGATATAAAAAGCAGAGTTAGTTTGTCCAGAATATCATGAAAAATAATTTAGTTTAATGAATTATTTAAGAATTTAAAATTCAACTTGAAAAAAAATCGTCCGGAATATTTGTATTGTTCAAGTTTGATTTTAATCTTGTTACTTTCAAGTGTGAAAAATGATTTAATTTAGTAAGAAATAAAGGCAATTTAGGATTAAAAGAAGAAGAAGAAGGTTACCAAAATAAACCGGTTGCTTACTTGTACCAGTCAGGAAAACTGATGGGTTTGTTGCAGCGACGAGACATGCTATACGACTCCACTCTCTTACCATCCTCAAGCTGTGATATTTAGGATGTGACAAGCAAATAAGATCCAATCAAATCTCATATTTAATGATCCAAATAGTAGTGTTATTATTTATCACTGATTTTGGTAATTAAATTCAATAAATGCTGAATTGGATATTACGTTTCATACCTTATTAGCTTCCTCCTGTTATTATTATTATTATTATAATTATTATTATTGAATTGATTTTCCTGCAGTAAATTAATTAAATGGGTAATATGTGCGTGTATTGATTCAAATTGGGTTTTAGCTTTTCTTAGGAAAGTTCCCTTTAAATTTGGATCTTTTGTTGAAACGTCTTGATGGGAATAAAAATACTTCGTGCCTTCCTTTGAGAAAGGAGTTTTCCATGGGAGGGTAGTAAATGCCGTTTTGTTAGGGGTTGGTAGACCCAGTCCTTCTAACCCTTGGCACCGCCCGTTTATTCTAACAAAACGCGGTCCCTGTGGATTCCTTCCGATTTATACGTTCTTTTTTGTAAGAGAAAAAAGTGTCTCTTCGTATAGTACATTGAGGCGGTGGTGATTGTTAGTTTAGTGGTTTTTGTTTTTAAAAATATATTTTTTATTTTAAATTATATTAAATTATTGTTTTTGTTAAAAAAATTATTTTTAATATTAATATATCAAAATAATTTTAAAAAAAATAAAATTTAAAGCTTGTGAAATGCATGGTTGGACCATGAAAATAAATTGTTTCTAAGTTGTTAATGTTATTAGAATTTAATTTGTAACATAGAAAAAAAAGATGTTGATTTATAAAAGTATTTTTTAATATCATAAAATTTATTATTTAATAAATGAAAATACAAAGAATGCACTTAATAGAATCGTGAACATGAATAATAATTAAAGGCTAAAGCTTGAAGTTTATCTTTTTATTAGATGTATATGTACTTATTTTATAAATGTAGGTTATAAAAAGTCATGCTAATTAACGATAATACATGTATAGTAAACTTAGAAATACAGAAAAGAGCGGGACCACTTTCAAATTCTATTTTTATTTAATTCTATAGCCATTAAAATAAATATTTCAAGGACATTGAAACATTAAAATTATGGAAAAGATGTAGTCAAAATCTTCATTTTTTTCATTTATGCATTTTTTTTTCAATTTTCATAAAACATCTTCACTTTTTTCTTTTTTCTTTTTTTTTGCTAACAACATGGTTTTTCAAATGTCCAACACCTAAATTTCAACTTGTTTTAATCAAAAAAGAATTCCAATTGTTTTTTAAAAAAACCTCAATAACCTCATTTATCGCCTAAAAACAATATTTAATTAGTCTAGAAAATAAAAATAAAAACAACTCACTTTATGATCCTTGGTCTTCTTTTTCTAACTTGTTTAAAAGGCAAGGCTACATTTCCTGAACTTCCACGTACAAGATGAACCAATTGATATCAATGTCAACATTTTTTATGGCTGAAATGCGACGAACAAAGAACTTTCCCCTTCATTTCTATGATGAATTCCTCTCTCCTTTGTCGAAATTCAAGGTTTTGTGATCAAAATATAAAACCTAAAACTACAAGAACAAAAAAATATAGAAATATAAAACTTTAGGAATGAAATTGAAACTTTGTGAGAGCTTCAAATACTAAATTGAACTCTCTCAACATCCAGTGACGTAATTAATATAAGCAAAAGTAAGTTTCATGATGGAAACATAGATACCTAGTATCATGGGAAAGAGAATGCAAAATTCTAAAAGTTTTAGGACCAAATTGAACTTATTTAAAAATACCATGGAAAAATTAAAAAAAAAAAGAACAAAAAAGGAAGAAGAAGAAGATCAAGATCAGATTATGATCACTAAATTACAGGAACCAAAATGTAAAAATAAAAAAGGAATGAAATTAAATTAAATTCTTGCAAAACTTCAAGGACTTAGTTGATCTTTTTTCAACATCCACCAGATGAAACATGAAAAATAAAGTCTCAGGACCACGATACAAATACCTATAATTACAAGGATGAAAATATAGAACTTAAAAATTCCAGAGATCAGATTGGATTTTCTTAGACTTTAGAGACCATGTTAAACTTCTAGGGGTTGCACTTTTGTGTGGCTTCAGGACCGAAATGTAAATGTTTAAAACTACAAGGATGAAAAAAATAAGAAATCTAAAAGTTTTAGTGATTGAATTGAATTATTTTGAAAACACAAGAGACCAAATTGAAATTTTGAAGATTGCACTGTACAATGCAATCCACTAGAACAGCTGTTGTAGCAAAAGTAGCAACTGAAATAAATATATCACACGAGATGTGAATGATCCTTTTAAACTCGATAAATCTAGTTTTAATTTTTGAGAACTAACTAAAAATATATTTTAACCATTTTAAAAAAGTAATATATTTTTATATATTGCAGCATCGTCTACACCTTTGATTTTTACTTCTGCTCGAGACCACATCGAACCAGCAAGAAATTTTAACAGGAAGGCACAGAGGAGAGGATTCTTTACTTCATTCAACGCCGTAAAGAAGGATTAATTAATCAGTAAAACATAATTATGAATTTAATCACAAATTGAAATACCAGTTCAATGCTTAACTATGTCATCATTACGAGGGTCCAAGACCGGGACATATTAGCATATCCATATTAATAATTTTATTAAAGTGACAACCATAGTATAAATATATTACTTGTTGTGTACATGGATACATTAATATGATTATGATATATAACAGTGTATATATTAATTAATATGTTGATTAATATATAAACAAACTCATTGATGTTCATAAATTGACCTGTCCAATGTCCATATATTGAGGGATCATGTGTCCAAAAAGTTTATCTTCTTTAGAAAACACTAAAAATATTTGAGATTTTTAGTTTGGTCTTAAATTATTATCTGTTTATGCAATTAATCAAGATATTTTTATGGCTAATTGAGTTATTTTTAAAATATTTTTTATTTTAAAACATATTAAAGTATTTTTTATTTTTTAAAATTTATTTTTAATATCAACACATCAAAACAATTTAAAAAAAAATTAATTTTAAAAAATAAAATAAAAATTTAAAATAAAAATATTAACGGGTTTTTTTAACTAAACAAATAAATTTATCAAGATATTTAAAAAGTATCTATGATTTTCATGTATTAATTTGAAAAATTAATACTTGACTCAAAATATATAGTGAATATAAGATATCGTTTTTCAATGATGTAAAATATTACTATTCAATCTTATAAAATAATAAACAATATTAGTCTTTTAATTATTTCAAGGGGGTTACATTACAGATTATTTGAATTTAGTGCCTGACTATATATATATTTTTCTGAATTAAAGATCAGGTACTGCTGATTGATTACATTTTTTTTTTGTCTGTTTATGTATACGATGTTAACAGCTTTGTGAAGCCGAAAACCATAAATAGTATGGGGCCACCGCATGGTTTCACTGGCAGATAAATTCATGACGTATTTTAATCGAAAACACCAGATCAATGCTTCTGGTTAATTTTTTTACCAGTCGAGAAAATTATTATTATTAATAGTAAAAGCGAGCAAATTCTATAATTACAAAAGGACAGCATGTAATAACACGCAATGCTAAAACACACCGAGTCAACTCCACCAAGAACTTGGATTAATATATAAAATAAAATAAAATAAAATTCTCATGTTGAAAACAGGTGTTTTCAAGATTGCCATGAAATATATCACAAGAAATAATTGTTCATTAGTCACTTTGTGAATCCTGTTGGATCTAATGGTCAAGGATACACATTCTTTCTTTCTTTTTAATTATCATTATTCAAATTCTAAACCAACTTCTGGAAAGTTTGTTTTTAATAAATTTTGCAATTATAATTACAAAAAATAATAATTGAGATTGAATTAGACTTTACTATGCTGGGACCGCGTTTGGGATAAGATTGTGGGGCTTTTACATCAATGCCATCGTTGAATTCTACTAAGCCCGTAATAGAAAGGAGAAAAGCTTCATTTTTAAGTTTAATAACTTACAATTTTAACTTTTTACATGTATTGATATACGAGAAGTATGTAATTAAAAAATAGCAAAATAATATTTTATCATATATATATATATATCATGTTTTTGCTGCTGTGTGTTTTATTTTTAGGGATGACACACACTAAAAACATAACTTTCAACTACCCCCGAGGACAAATACATTCTTAATTTCCATAAAATACACCAT